AACAGGTCATAGGTCGGGAAGGAGGGTACAAAATTTATTTATTAATTATTAGACAAGAGCAGTCATGAGAATGAGTAAAAGTGCACATGAAAAGTTGCGCTCCTTGGTTATATGTTAGGGAAAATCTTGCAAAGTAAAATCCGTAAAATGTCTTAATTTAGGGAAAGAGGGAAATCTTAGTAGTTGCTATTGGTTTATGAAATAGATCGAATGTTTCCCACACAGAGCAAAGGGAAATATGTCCTGCTTTTAATTAAATGCATACTTGAGCCAAAAATAGATTTAAGAACAGGATGTGGCTTTTAAAAGTGTGAGAAAGTATTTCGATTAGAATAATTAATTAGGATGAAGTTTTATAAAAGAAACTAACATAAAAATATTAATTGAAGCTTTTTATGTTACATATATATATATATATAACTTAATTCCACAAAATAGAGGAATTGATTGAAGGTATCAAAAGATTGAAGTTTTTGGATATTTTGATTTTCTTTAAAGAATTTTTTCATCAACAAAATCAGTTTCAAAATAAATGTAATTCAAGAAAACCTTCAAAAGTTAAAAATGTACGTAATCTATGTATTGTCACAGCATTCATACTTAATTTGAAAGAAAAGTTTCCTGAATTTTGCCTGAAATTGCAGAAGTATTAGTTAAAAAAAAAAAACATGAAAATAATAATAGTGGAGGAGAAAAACACAGATAAAATTTTTAAAGCATATAAAATTAAAAATCCTATACAACAATATCAAAACAAAAACATTAACATTCTTACATAGTTATGGTTCCATTTTACAGTATTATCTTAATACACCTACAAATCAAACTTTTGGATTTAAGTAATTTGGAACTGGAACATTTTCGATAAAGATTTTATCATTGCCACCAGCAAACCTTGGTAAAAAAACTTACTTTATCTTTCCTAAACTTAATAAAATCTTCATTAAAGTTACAAATGCATCGTAAAATATGATTCAAACATTACAGTAAATAAATTTTTATTGATGATTTGAAGTAAAAAAGCTTCAAAAAGAAAATTGTTTTAATTTTAAGGTTATTAGCAAAAATTCTAATTTTCTCAGATTCTTGAAGTAAATTTAAAATATCGTGAGATATCCAGGTTCTCCCTAAAGATTATAAAATTCTGATTATTGAAAAAAAAAATGAAATAAATTCTTAGTAAAGAAATAAAGATGTTATAATTAAATTTTATTAAAGAAGAAAAAGTGTGCAAAGCTTCAAAAAATGCTTAATTCCAAAATTTTTTCAAATAAAAAATTTATATTGTCTTCATAAAATTGAATTGTACTAAGGATTAATGTATTAATTTTGTTAGTAGTAACCTATACCTATAAATAACTAAATTCATTGTTGCCTCCAAAAGCATAAAGAAATAAAAACTCCACAGCCCTTTCCGAAAGAATGGCTGCACAACACTACACCAAATAGATAAAATGTAAAGGGAATCAAACTTAACAAATGACTGATTACGTTTTCTTCAAATGACATTCCTCTTGTATTTCACAGAAATAAAAGAAAATAACGATAAATCAATAAAAAAAGAAGCTATAAAAAAGGAAACTTAGTTATAAAACTTTAATAAATTGATATTTCAAAGTTAATCAAGTCAATGTTCAAAGACAATTTCAAACTTTCAAAGCTAATTGACATTTTAAGCTTCAAAGTAAATATTACACATCAAATTAATGATTGAGAATGTCAGTTAGATAAAATACATAATCTTCAGCAAATCAACTCCAGAAATTTACTGAAATGGAGGAATGCTGAAAACACACTTATCGGCGACAGTTTTACATTTGCCTCTGTAATCGTAATAATAAAATATTTCTGTTTTCATGCTGAAGTGAAACTCTTAATATTATAATAAATTTACTTGCGTATTTAATGTAGCTGACATACATCATACTAAAATGTTTTACTTAGAGGCACGTAGTTAATGGTATGTGTAAAAATAAATGAACAAAAAATAACCAAAAATCAATTATTTTTTTTTGGTAATTTTTTTTCGAAATTTTAAAATTGGTATACTCCTACCTTTTCGTTGATTTCATATGCAATTGTCATTTTTAATATAATGAGAAAAGAAAAAAGAGAAATAGGTTTTAGAAGACACTTCATTTTTCTGTATTTTTTTAAAGTAATTAACAAATACAATAAACATATAAGTATTGTTTCGATGTTTAACAAATTCGACAGCGAAGCAGAAGAAATAAGTTGTTTCTGTTGCCAACATAAAAGTATATCATCTTCAAATACTCATTTACTTACGGATATTATTTTTTAACTGTTTTTTATGTCTTGTTTGCATCTGGCAATAAATTGTGAGATAGGCTTGTAAAAGCTAATATTTAACACTTAAAAGTTTAAATCGATTATCGTTCGTTAACTTAATAAATCCTATAGTTACTTTTGACAATATTTAAACGCATTGAACTGAATTTCCGTGCAGTTTTTCTAAAGTTTTTCTAAAAACATCAGGATTCGTTTTTGTTTATTTGGTTGCGAAAAATTCTATATTGTTTATTGTGAGCTTATTATTTTGTTAATTTGATTGATAATAAAGCTTCATTTACAGTGGAAGTGAAAGATTGCTTGGTCTATTTTCTTTTATTGTTCATTGAGATATTTTTACATCTAATATGGTATGTGAGTTGGTCTTTTAAACTTGTCATCGATGCATAAGAAAATGGATTTTCATTCTGTTATGGAAAGTTTTGCCGAAGCATGGGTTGTTGCTAATACGCATACACCACTGACGGAAGCTGCTGAGTCGGTAATATTAGAAATAATCAAAGACATTACTTCTACTACGAATATTTGTTAAAATATTAATATCCTTTACTGTAATTTGAAATAATCAAAAGGGAATCAAAGCTTTATATTAAATTAAATTTTTGGTTCAATGTTTAAAACAAGTTAAACTTGTGGTTGTATTCTATAAAAAAAAAAATAGGTGCTATGGAACTTTCTGTATTTTAATGTACACAAGAAGTTTTAAAATTTCATTTTATAAAATATTTATATTTTGAGTTTAAAGGTTATCATTTCAAGTGAAGTATGCTATAGGTATGTGATATATATGTATATATCAGGGTCCCTGATGAATTAATCTGGCTTCGTAATCGTATTGATAATATAAATTTTTATTTTTTGGAGTAAGGTATTAAAAAAAAAAGAAAATATTTGGTTTGTTGATTTATACAATAAAAGAAAAGATTTTTAATATAAATAAACTAATTATTTAAAATTCTAATGTTTCTAAAGACATTTATTTATATACTACCATTTTTAAATAAATGGATAGAATTAAAAGGATATGTAATAATGTTTATTTATTCAAATAGACAAACTCTTTCAAAATTTGATTAAAAAAAGCAATGGATACCCAACTAATGTAGTTAAGTTCTGTTTAAAATCATTGAGTTCATTGTATGTTATTATTAATAAATTTTATAAAAAGAACTTCTTTGTTAATTTATATTTTTGCCATGTGCAAATCCAATTCGGGCAACTCCGTAGCTAAAAATTTGTGCAAAACAGGCAAATTATGTTTTATTTTTAAATAAATGTTAAATTTCTAAAATCATTAAAATTGTATTATTAAAATATCAACCTTATTAATTTTAAACTTTAAATTATTCAGTATAATATTATTACCTTGTACACTTTCATTTTCGAGCCAATTCAAGGTAATTGACAGGGTTTTGACGTCAAAAAGTGGTTTTTGACATGACAAGGGTATAATACTGGTTTAAACCGTCAAAAATGTCAAAAACTGAAGTTTGCCAAGAAAATATATAAACTTCAAAACTACCAACAGTTGCCATGCATTATATTGAAATTTAATTATACTACATGTAATCAGCAGGTTTTAAAATATTTTTTAATTAAAATTAAGGTAAAATAACAGAAAACTATGGTTTAAACTGTCAAAAACTGTCACATGTCAAAAACCTGCCAACCCTGGTAATTGACAAACTTAATGCGCTTCAGAATTACAGTAAAAAAGGGCTATAAAAGATCTCTCTATTTACGCTTCTAACCTCTATTTGCACTTCTGTTTTCATATTTTATAATCTGACAATCTTATTACGAAAATATTTTTTATCATTCTTGAAGGATTCTGGTATGTGTAAGATCTTTTGAATTCACTACTCGCTTAATATATTTTGTTTTGTTTTCTATTTCCTTTACATTTTATTTTCTGTTTTTTTCTTGATAAAAAAAATTTTTCTTACTTAATGTGCTTACTTATTTTGTTTATATTTTTTACTTAATGTGTTCTATTTTCATTTCAATTTTTTTAGTGATCCTCACACTATTTTATAAATATATTTATCTTTGGCTATATTGGTACAATATTAGAAAACACTTCTTTTTGTGAATATAATCGTGTGAGCTGATGAAGAAATTATATCTTTTCATTCATTATTTAGTTTTCCAAATTTTTAATTTTTTTTTTAAATAAAAGATTTGTTTTTAATATTTTTAAAAATATTTTATTTTAATAATTTTTTTTCTTCTCTTTTCATTAATCTTTCTATTATTTTCTATATATTTTTTTACTCTTGAGTTCTATATACTTACATCTTATACACAGTAAATAAAACATAATTTTCTTTGTTTTTTTTCTTCTATCTTTTATTTTTATCCTTTTTGTTTTCATTGTGCTATATATATATATATATATTTAAAGAACCGTGTTTCTTAAACGGCTACTTCAAGTATTAAATATTTTGCTGTTATATGATCTCATGATGCAAAAATAGTTTAGAATACTTATGTACTTCTAAAAAAATTTATGTACATTTTTTTTTTATCATCTCATAATTTCATATTTTTCTTTCATTTTTGTTTCTTATAAACTTTTATTGCATGATTCTATAAAATAGAAAACTGTATTCTGCAAGGATGCTTTGTTTTGTGGAATATAAATAATGTTTTCTCCATATCTTAGCAATTCTTTAATTTTGGTATTTTTCATCTTTAACTGCACCAAAATATTCTTTCTTTCTTTTTTTTTTTCTTCTTTTTTTTTGGAAAATGTTATCTGCATGCTCTGTTTTTTATTTTAATAATTCTAGAGAATTTATGTTAAACACTAGTTTAGATTTACAGCACTTCCATTTGTTATTATCATAACTATTTAAATAGTACTAAATAAGTCACAACAATTTAATAACAAATTCTGTATAATAATGAGATATAATCTTCTAGGGATTAATTAATGGTCCTAACAATAATTCCACATCTTCAAATCAAGCACAGCCACCACCACAACCAAGTTCAAATCTAGCACAACCGCTACCACAACCACCTTCAAATCTAGCACAACCACTACCACAACCTCCTCCAAATCTAGCACAACCGTTACCACCACCTTCATCAACAGCTCAAGACATTCCGAAAGATGACTGCATTGTAATTAATGAAGACAAGCAAAATTCTAGATGCCAAAGTCCACCTGAATCTCTTATCTACTCTCCATCTAATGCTGATATTAAAATTAAAGTTATTGAAACTCATGGTATTAAATTTATCTTATTTTTGAGCATTTCTAAACAAATATTTATATATTCATGTGTAATTCATTTCACCAATTTAATTTTAAACTGGATTTATTTCCTGTTGATTAAATTAACTATTTTTTAAACTTTTCTGCTAACTATTTTTTATGGGAGACCCTCAGGGTTGCAAAAACCCCAGGTTTTTCTTGAAAAACCCAACCTGGGTGGGCTTTTCTGGGTTCTTTTGTGCTTTTCTGGGTTTTTCATGTTTTAATGGAGTTTTTTTCAAAGGAGAGGGCAGGGATAAGTACCTTTTTTTAAAAAAGCCTATTTTAATATTAGTAATTAAGTTTAATTTCATAAATTGACTTAACATATAGGTAATTAATAATTAATGCAAAAGTTTGAAAAGAGTTTCTTCTGACATCACGATACAAAATGTTATATGTTCTCACATACATCACATATTTGAAACTTATTTTAACACAGGATTACTTTTTGTTTATATTTTAGTCTTAAAAAATATTTGAGGAAGATTTTTTATTTGCATAGAAAGTGAATCAAAGGCACTGACTAATCAATAACCATACAGTCAAATCTAGCCAGCAAGGTGACTCTCCAGTCTCCAATATAGTTAGTTTTTTCACCATAGGTTAATTTTTTTTACATAGATATACATATATATACTACATATATATTTCAATAGAATAGCTCTTTAATATAACAGAGGATAAAAAAGAAATCTATCTTAGAAAAACCCACTTTGGGGTGGGTTTTACCCAGTAAAACCCTCCTGAAGTTGTTCAACCCTCCCAATATGTTCCTGGTGGGTTTTACTGAGTAGGTGGGTTTTTTGCAACCCTGGAGACCCTCTAAAGTCTGGAACCACCCTGTTAACTTTCAAGTGACTGCAGCTATTGTTATAAAAGAAGCATCTAAATATAGTGCATTAGTTATGAACAAATGAATGAGACCCTACTCACTACAGAGCCGTCTGGTGGAAAACTTAAGGAGTTCATATTTTATACCAGAAGCAACTTGAGATAGGATAAAAAGTTCTAAAACATCATTAGTTTATTACAAATTAATACCTTGTTAACGTTATGTTGTACAGATGAAGAAAAAAATTCTAAAGACAAACATTTGTTTATTAACAATTTCCTACAGTGTAACATGAATCCGATAAAGCCATTTTGGACAAAACAGTAAACATTGAACAATAGAAATATCTTGTAATAATTTTTTTTCTCTCTGTTTCTAATGTCAGTCTGTAGGAAATAATTTACAAACAATTATAGGTTTTGAGTTTTCTTAGAACCAATATGAAGCGATATAATCATACTAAATTAGCCATACTATATTAGACCTGAAAATTTTAAATTTTAATTAGTAGTTTAGTCACTGGTAGGCTCAAACTTAATTAGTCCGTAGCTGCTATAGATAAGTCCTTTTCACTTAATTGCCACATGGATTAAATTGTATTTTTTTAAAAAAAATTCCTTTATTACTTGTGGTTACTTTAAAAGGTAAACAATAATTTATTTAATTTTTGCTAATTGAAGTTCTTTCATTGCATAAGTTACATTATTAAATTAACCTGATTTGAATTATGTTTTTTATATATTTTTTCTTTTGTTAAATGTTAATATTTTTTATAAAGAAATTACAAAAACTCCTTTTATTTTATCATATTTAGCTATTTCTACTCTGGATAGTCTGACTTTTACATTAATCCTGATTATTAAGAAGACTATATGCTAAAAAAATAATAATAAATGATTTATGATATAATTCAAGCTTTTCAGAAAGTTATCTTTCTTAATAAGTGCAAGTTCTGCTATCCCACAGCATCTAAGTCATCTTTTTTCCTTTTGTTTGTTTAATTTTCCTTTTTTAGTTTGGGTTACGTTTTGATTTTTTTTACTAAAGTAAGTTGCCAGATTTTTTGTCTCATATTGTGAGTTTTTAGTAATAAGTAGTGATGTAACAAATAGTGATGGGGCCGAATACTGAATATTCGGCCAAATTTTAGGCCGAATACTTACTTTTTAAAAATTTCTCTTTTGATTGTAATTTTCAAATTTTCATTTGATTTTTACATTTATATTGTTAAATGTACCTTCATTATCTGATTTTAAAATGTATCCTTCACTAGTCATGTTGAATATATTCCATGCTCGAAAGAAACACATGGGAGTTTCATTCCTGATACAAATAATGTTTAAGTTTTCACACAAGCGTTGCTTTTGCTATGAAAAAAATCCATTTTCAATCTAGGTAATTAAATATAATGTAAAGCAAATTATTTAATTAAAATTTTATCTTGAAATTTATTTTTAGGTAAAAGTTTGCCAGTTCATTGTATCATTGAACAAAACCCTGGACCTCAAGCATGTGGTCAGTATGTTGAGCTTGACAGTTATGCCATTGTTCCTTGTGAAACTTTATTCAGTGACTTGGTCAGGACAGCATTAGGAAAACTAGGTTATTCTGGGTCACAAATTGTTGGAGCTAAGGGTAAGACTATACTATTTCTAGGTTTAACCTTCAAACTTTCGTGAATATTTATATGAATATATCTGCTATTTCTCAGAATAACTAAAATTTGTCAGCTTTGCATTAAACATGGTACATTAGATTCTCTATTACAGAATATCTGGGAAGAGCAAGGAAAAAATATCTTTTGTTTGGTTTAAAACAAAAATTTCCATGGTCATTTTTATCAACATTTTGATCATCCTCTAATAACTGTTCTTCTGTTGCAGTAAAATCTGTCATTTTTTTGTAAATTTTCATCTAAAAGATGAAAGGAGAGCCCACAACAACTATTTGATGTATGTATTTGATCCACAAGTTGTGAGCTGTGTATCCCTAATTTATATCTCATTCCTTTGATTGTTTGTCCCAATTTGTTTTTAACTTGCAACTGCAGAGTTTTCTGCATGAAAAATAGTGTGCAGAAGCAAAATTTTTAAACAATTTTGCCCAAATGCTTAACTCTTTAACTGCTAAAACCAATTGTTAATTTAATTTCTATCAAGTTCATTTATATGGAATTAATTTGTTTTTGATAATAATTCATTGGAATGCATAAACTAAGTGTGAGACAGGATTGGATGATTTATCGTCAGAAAAATTAAGAATAAATTATAAAGTATAATTATTTACATGCATTAAAATTAAAATCGTAAATTACTGGAAAAGTTAAAGTGTAATGGTTAATTTGAGTGATGAAAGTAAAATAGTAAGATTTTTCCCCCCTGAAGCAGTTTTGTCTATTCTTAAAAATTGTTATCTTTGCCTAAAACTGAGTAATTGTCAAGGGGAACTGTAATTGTTGATCAGTGGTGCAAATATGTAATAATGTAACTTTCATGCTTTATTTCTTTTAAGGTTCCATTCAAATAAAGAAGTGGAAACCTCTTGCCTTTGACCAAGTAACAGAAAACCCAGACGCAACTGTAGCAGATATTCTTGGTGATTTAACAACTATGGCATCACTTCACATCCGCTTGTATAGGTGTGATTTTATTTAAAGTTTTAGCATTGTTTAATACCAAATTTTAGGAGTCAGTTAAATGCATGTTATATGGATTAGTGACTTGTAGGGGTGACCTTTTGCACACCTTCAACCTATTTTAGGTAAATTTTTATTCTATGTCAATTTTTATGCAAATTATATTTATTCCCTGTGCTTTTAATTTGTAATATTGGGCTTAAGCAATGATCTAAAAGAAAGAAATGTCTTCCCAGTAATATCACAAAAAATAGAAGCAATATTTGTAATCATGCAAAAGGTCACTGACCTTCCCTACTCTAAACATAAGTTCCCAACATAGGAAGCATTGGCAAGTTTTTGGACAAATGTGAGGCACTGGGGCCTTATAGGGAGTCTATTACTATTTACAGAAATTATTATATTTGCTACACTTATGAAATATTATTTTTTAGTTTTATGTCAAAAAAAAATCATTCAAATTTTTAATAATACATTTAATCTATGTTATTAAGCACACAAGTAAGTTAAGAGAAATTTACTGAGTAGCAGATTATTTAATAAATTTTATAATAAAAGTGTATTATTAATTATTTGAGTTTGGTAGTGTAATAATAACAAAATATAGTATATCAAGAAATTTTCCATTTAACAAATTATTTTAGAGATAGTTTAAAAGCCAGTTAATTGTTCTTTGATTTAACCATTTATCAAAAAACTATAGGCAAATTATTCAATTAAAATATTGACCACGATATAGGTCTCCCATCACAATTTGGTGTGTAAGTTAGTGTAAAACAGAACTCTTGAGCTTCTTCCAGCGATTAAAGAGGAAAAGGCAAAGATATCGGAATTAGGGATTCTTGCCAAAGAAATACACTTACATTTTGTGCACTTTAATTTTCCCCTTCAATGAACAAGTGAACTTTTATATTAAGTTTTTTCGCCACTCGCTTACTTGTTCTATTTGACTAATAAAATATTGACTAAAATATTTATATTTTTCTCTTGTATTAAATATATTCTGTCAAAGCACTTGTTATAATTAACCTCTATGTATAACTATAAATTTTCATCTGAAATTGTAACTATTTTCTTTGTTTAGTGTCCCAGATAATCCCCAAGAATGGAAAGATGTAACTGTAAGAAATGCTGTTCTTGAACTTTTACGTGAAATGTCTCAAAGTAAACTTGCAAAACTCTGCCCTCTTTCTCAGGTGGGTATATTTTTAAATTCTTTTGTTTAGGTTTCTATTTGAAATATACATTAAAACAGATACTAAAACAAGTATAACTATAAATTGTGTTTTAAAAATGTACTGAGTTATTATTTTTAAAAAAAATTATAAATGTTTTTACATAACATTATTTGGATAATAGTTAACATAATTTGCATCAAAGTTTAAAAACTCCCAAGACTTTTACATGCCTTACTGAGCATCCTGTGCATAAAAATTATTCAAAATACTTTCCCCAGTAAAAAGTTAGCATGTCCAAGCATCTTTTGTGCACATTAATAAAAATTTAAGAATATAAATATTCATTAAAGGAAATTTATTTAGGCATACCAGATATACTTTTTATATTTTTTTTAGGGTTATTTAGTTGCACACTTTATTAGGCAATGTATGAATAGTCTTACGAATATCATTATTATTCAAAAGGTATTTTTTAAAAAGGGTTTTGAAAGCTTTGAATGATAAGAGATTTGTCACAAATTGTTATTTTGCTTTAAAAAACAATATACTTCAAAAAAATTCACAGATACACTATACTACTGAATTTCATGTATCAGGTAACTTATGATCAGACTTTGATAAAATAAAAAACTCTCTGTGAACTCAAAATTTAAAAAAAAAAAAAAAATTTAATTTAAGAAATCTGCTAGCAATTTATTAACTTTTCTAATTTCAACCCTTTCGTCAACCGAATTTTAGCAAAAAAATTTTGAAAATTAATCATTTTTTTTTTAAAATTTTATATGGATCATTATCCCAGCATATTTTTTAAAATTTTATATGGATTATTATCCCAGCACGTATTTCTTTAAATTTAGCAGTTTTTTAACAATAAAACTAGCTATTAACTTGCCATCTTTTACCTTATGTTTGGTTTCCTTTGCTTTCTATATCTTAAATCTAAGTCGATCAGAAAATTCCAATGCAAATATTTTATAAATATTTGTATAAAAATCAAAATTGCTAATTTATTCTTCGATGCCTAACAGTCAAATACTATTTCAACTCTTTTTAATATATAATGAGTATACTATAAAATTTTCCAAGAGAATGACAATTTTTTGCAAACAACGTTTGTATGTATTATGCATATCTGCCTATGATTTGTTACAACTATAAATTTAGCATTAATGTTAAATGCAATAAAACAAAGTTAGGGAAAAAACTTTTTTTTTAAATTTTGGAGAACTGTTTAATAAGTTGCAAACAATTTTGATATTATACAAACTGAACTTTTTCATAAGTTACCTAAAGCAATATGTATCTATTTCAATGTACTTGTGTAATGTTTTATAATTGAAATGTGAATGTTCAATAACAATGATTAACAAATAACTTGTACATATTATTTTAGCCAATGCTATCAAATATTATTAACAACCGATATTTGGGGAAAATAGGAAAAGAGAAATGTCAAGAGTTTGGAACTTGGTATTTAAACTACAGGAAACAAACTCCAGGTAATTTCATCATCTTAATTTATTATCAAATTAAACATGGCTCTTTTATATAGTTAACTGCTTTTATATTGTTTTCCAAACGAAGACAGTATATGAGCTTTTTGTTAAGTTTATAATGATAGATAATATTAATATTAGTACTTAATAACTTAATATATATATATTTACAAAATATGAAATCATTTCACTCAGTTTGCTACAAAATATTATTCTTTGTAATTTTATCACTATTCTAACAGAGTGAACAATAGATTACTTTGTTAAATCTACAAGGCAATAACATTTATTTAAGAAAACCCTCAATATTCCTTGAATGTGCATAATTTATAAAACTTGTGTGCTTTCCTTGTATGTTAATTTTACCTTATAAAAAGCAGTTCTACCCAAAGATTTAGGCAATAATGTAAGGTTTTTGCTGTAAAAATTGCATAGTTCTATTTTTATTGTTTCTAAAATACCAAATGCTATCTTAGTCTTTCTAAATTGAAATTGAAAAAAAAAATTTATTTCCATTCTTGTAGTTTTTTTCTCCTGGAATAAATGAATGAATAGATGTATAGTTAATAAATGTGACTTTGAACAACAAGTTTTACAAGGTTTCTAATACAAAAACCTTACTCTGAATGAGTCAATGAAAAGATTAACCCTTTTGTGTATTTTAAATAAGCAATATTTTTGGTGGTACGTCAGGAGAAGAAGGCTTGTGTGATATGACAGCTTTGGTGTAATTTTACGCATTCTGCTTCCAGCAGTTTCAATTTTTATTACAATTTGATATTATGATTCTATTTGCTTGTTACTTTTTATTTAATGTACTTTTTCATAATAGATGCCGTTTAATATTGATTGTGCATCTGAATATTGATAATGCAAAGTAAATTGGAGAGAAAGACAATGGTTTGCAATTGATTTTATGACAAAGTTATTGTCATTTTTAACTATCTGATGAAGGAAAGCTTGTTCTCTCTGAAGCACATTGTTCTTAATAAATATTCATTAACAAAATATTGTTCTGGTCAAAACTTATGCAATTTTTAATTATCAAATTAATCAATCTTTTTTTTTAAATTTAATACTTTTCACATTGATAATGTTAATAATAATAAGGGTTGATAATGTTAATAATAATACTTTCACATTGATAATGTTAATAATAATAATAATTTCACATTGATAATGTTAATAATAATAATAATGTTAATAATAATACATTTTTAACAGAGGGCACTGCTCCAGAAATAGTTCCTAGTGACCGACCAACAGATGGACGTCTCACATTTCATCCTACTAAAGAGCTTCCTACCATGAGAGATTGGTTCCGCAGTTGCCGTAATCCCTCTAGACGCACACTTCAAATGTATGTAGATATTTTAAATCAAGGACCTGTTAGACAACAAGAGAGGTATTTATAAAATTATATTACATTTTTAAAAATTTAGTTATTTCAACCTGAGAGTTAACAAATTAAATCGAAGGATTAAAATCAGCAAAAATAATAAAAAGGGGGGAACCTAATTATTTTTTTTAAGCATTACAAAATTATATGAAAATTTACAAATAACAGGTATTTCATGCCTTTATATATCTTTTATTCATTTTTACTATTACATAACTTACAACTTTTTATGGTTTTTGAAAAATATATCAGGTAAAAATAATAAAATAGTATTGCCAGAAACATTGCTCAAAATTCAGTGAATAAAAAAAATTAAAAGCTTAAAAGCCTAACTAATAGTTCTGATATACATATGTTTGAATTTATGATTTTTTATGTTAGATAAAGTAATTTTTTTTTAAAACTTCGAAAATCAAATCTTATATATTAAAAAATAAACATTTCTACGACCCAGAAAAAGTTTATCCAAAGAGTGTACCAATTAGCACCTGTTCTATCAGTAGCGTTTCTATAAAATAATTGTTCCCCTTGACTGTACAGATAAAAATGTATTGTTTTTAGACTTTAAAAGTTATAAATGCTATGTAAGAGTTACTAAGATAATTTTTAGTGTATTACTTATTAATAATTTATAGGTACTGTTTATACAGTCTTCACCTAAATCGATGCATAAAGGGCTTGAATACAGTGAATCACTTTTATGATTCTGCTATAAAAGAGAAAATTAATTGCTTAGTTATGTTAAATTGCTTAGTTAGTTGTGCATTATACAGAAGAATTAAAGTCATAATTGACTGTATAAATTATGATTAAATAATCAAACGAGGATTTAATAATTTTTAAATCATTAGGGCTGTTCTATGTTTTAATTTAGAACTGGGAAAACCTGGACTTGTCAAAACATTTTATTTTGCCTCTAAAATGCAGGAAATAGCCAGGTAAAAATTAAAATTTTAAAAAAAAAAAGAAAAAAACTGGAAAACTCCTACATTATACCTGGAAAATAACCAGTCTCAAGAATTATCAGTAACATTAATCAGATATTGAGATTCAAGTTAAATGATTCTGGCATCTATAACAATTATCTGTTGGAAAAATTTTGCATTTTAGTGAAACTTCCATGCTTCTATTCTTATTCATTGATATTTCTTTGCTCACAAAATCTAATGTTTGACATTACAATCAAAAAATCAAAGTTGTCTGATGAAAAATTGCAAGGTAAATATAAAATATGGTTTTGATTTTCATTGGAATTTTCCTGATTTACCTGGAAAAGTTAGGGAATTTTTTTCTTGAAATTGAGTGGGAACCCTGTTTACAGACTTTAATAAGACAAAATTAATGATTCAAGGAAATTCATGCAACAACAAAGTTGCGACCCTATCCATTAATATTTGAACTAAAGTATTAGAAAATTAAATTATTTTAAAATTTGCTGATCCTATGTTCTCTACATTTTGTTATGCACCTGATACTATAGGGCAAAATTAAAGATCACCATTTGCCACAGGGCAGCTAAATATAAAAAATAGATATTTAAAATTAATTGTCCTTCTATCCTTTCCCGATCACCATTTTTTTTTCTGTCAAAATTGCCCCCATGTGCATTTATTTTTTTCAATACATATGGAGTTACTATAAAAATTTTATAATATTCTGAAAATTACTTTATTTCATGCATGCTACTTAAGATTTTCTTCATTTTAGAAATACCTTACAATATTAACATCAATAGTTTTCTTAATCATGGAAAATTTTCAAATTTCAGAAAGGTAACTACTCTTAAAACTGTTACGACTGACCTCTAGCCAGCAGCAAAATTTCTTAATTTTGCCCTATACTTGATGTTATTCTAAAAAGTAAAATCATGTAATCAGGATGAAATTAAAATTGATTCACTTGTGCACTTTGCATCTCTAATTGTGTATTTACTAAAAAAGTTTCTTTTTACAGGCCTAAAATTATTTTGTCCACACTAAAGAACTGGTGGAAAAATGAAAAGCAGCGAGAACGTAAACAGCATTCTGAAGATAAATCTCCTGATGCCATAACAGCCAAAAGAAAAAAGAAGTCAGATCAGAGTACTGAACAGAAAGAGGCGGTTGCGAATAATGGAAACCATGACCATACAAGTCCTAACTGTGATGATGCGCCTAAAACAAACAATTTCACTCTAATCAATCATAGTGAGAACGAAAATGATTTTGAGAGAGTATGCAGAAGAGACAGTGAAGTGAGTGAAAATAGTTTAGTCAGCGATTCGAGTCTCCCGTTTCAAAAATTAAACTCCTCCGACTCAAAATCAAACTCTAAGTTCACCTTCCTTAGTTCCGCCAATAATGTTTCAGAAATGGAAAGATTTATTCAAAAAGATACTGATCTGCAGGAAAGCAGGCTGAATGAGCCTGGAATTGAACCATCAAAAGCATTGCCAATCGAATCATCTTATTTTCATAAAATTCACACTGTGTGCATTGAACCTTCAATGCATAATGTGTTTAACTTTACCGACCCTCAGTTAAGCATTCATCCCAACCCCAAAATGTATTCTAGTAATCCTTTAAGAACTAATGCTGCTGATAACAATTCTCATATGAGTTCGGAAGAAGATGTAGATGTTGGTATATGAGTCGCATTGTGCAGTTTATATTACCTTTGATCTATTTCAAATATCATTTTGCTTTTAAATATGTTTAATTGATATTTTTTCATTTCAAAACATACATTGCCATTCCATTTTAAGTTCATTTTGTTTTCTATTTAATTTTAATGGTTTCAATCAAGCTTCCGTTGATAGAGAATAAAAGTTAAAAATTGTAATTCTAAAAGTCTGTCTGAACACTTAGAAAGTTGTGATGCAACATGTCTGGCTCACGCATATGACTGCTCAGGAGATCATAGAAAAACAAGAAACTTTATTTGCAGGTTCAGACATTTATCTAGACAAATATTGTAGATAGTGAACTTGGCATCAGCAAACAGACAATTGTAAGTTGCTTCTCAGAAACAGTAAACAGGATACATAGCGTTTTTAAAAAGTGCTTAAAGGTACTGTTTTTTGTTTTTAAGAAGGCTTTAGAGGGGCTTTTTTTCATAGGTTGTCTTTAAAGATTGCTTAATTTTCCCTTTTTCTTTACCATGTCGATTTTTGCCACCAATCATGCAAAAATTGTGGTTTTCAAATTGTTTGCTTCATCATTTTTTAAATTTATAAAACCACAATTCATTTTGGTGTACCAACGATCCATAGTGTATGAAAGCGTCATTCATTTTACATTTGATGAAATAATTGCAGATCCACATGTTCTTACATTGAGTTGGATTTAGTGGGAAGAATTCTTGCACTTTCATGTGTAACTCAACTGCATTTTGCAAGAGATTCTCGATTTCAGACTTCGTTTTCTGCCCTTTAAAAACAAACCGAAAAATTTCAAAAAATTATTGTCTGATCATGAGGATAAAACTTAACATTGCCAAATTTTTTCCCCTAATACCAAAATAAAATTTTATTTATCTTGTTAATTTCAACATTGTTGCAGCACCGTCATCTTTGTCACTCACAAGCCAATAGCCTTCTTGTGCTATTCTATTTATAGATCAGTACCATAATCTTTGAACTTGACTTGGGGATCATTCATTAATAACCTATTTTAATGTGGGTCTTGAGCAGGCAACAATCACAAATTTCATTGCCTTAAAATTTCCATCTGTCTTTTATTAATTAAATTCAATAAAGATAATAATTAATTGAGATTTTGAGCCTAAAGAACTGTTCACTTACATAATATTTTTAAACTTTTTATTGTACTTGATTACTTGTAAAATTTTCAGTGCTCTTAAGTTATTTTATTGAAAAACTTAATATTACTTAAAGACGAAGTTTTTAAAAAAAAACCATAAAGGGGAAAGTTTTTCATTGTTTTAACATATAGCAAATGCAGTAAAAAATCTCATGTTAATTCAGAATTGTCATTCCAAAGAACTTTAATACATCTCTTAATGATTTGTTTTAAAAACAATTAAAGTAAAAAAAATTCTATTATCTCAGATTTGTTAAATATCATATAATAATTTACTTCTGACAAAAATGTTTAACTGCAAAACTTATTGTATTTGCATTCCAAAATTACTAACTTTTTTTTAATGGTTTTATTAAAGAAACACTGAACAAATTTTAATAAAAATTTAATAGAGGCTGTTCACTAATTCACACTAATAATATAAATTTATTAAGTTTCCTTAGTTTGCTAAATTCTTTGCATATCATTATAAATTCAGTATGATCAATAATTTAATGTTTTGTTTGATCCTGTTAATGTTTTGCTGAATATACTTTTATAAATAACTTTTATTTAAGTCTTAAAAATACCACCAATAGCTTTATTAATTTATAGTTTGACTAATTATAATTTTAAATTAAAATTACTCTTTTTTTTCATAATCAAATAAAGTAATTGTTAATTTAAAAAATAGAATGTGCGACTCAATATTGAATATATTTGAAAATCCTCATAAATTGTTTTTATGGTTTCTAATATAATCAAGAAAAGAGTTCTTGGCCATATGTATATTGCGTACAATATATATCTTGCCATATATATACACAAATTGCGTACTAATATGTACAAATTGCGTACTTGCAACTAATATTGTAGAAAGATATGTAATAATTCCCTGCTGATAATGCACATTGTGACTGTTCTGCCCCTGATGAGTATTGCGCAACTACTGGAAGTAGTATAAACTAAACCTCTATGGTGAACAAAGTCCTGTTAAGTATTTGAGAAGAAACTTCAGTTGAGGTTGATCGTTGCATTTTTATTCGCTGATCAACAAAACGTTACAAAGTTGAAAAATTTTAAGTAAGCAAAATTCTAATAAGTAAGTAAATTCTAACAAATTTTATTAAAAATAAAAAATTCCTTTTTAGTTTTTTTGCAAAAATTTGAAAAGGTAATAAAAGATCATCTATTAAAATAAAACTTCATCTATCAAGTTTTATTATTATGACATTCATTATCTTAAATTTTTAATCTTGACTAATAATCGTGAGGAAAAAAAAACATTTAAAAGAGAAAAACGAATAGGTATTTTACATTTCTATTAATTTGCACCTTTGGTGCTTGGAAGTTTGATTGTATTCCACTATTCTCAGTCATGTAACTAATTTTTAAAATATATTTTGAATTTTTTTTAAGAAATTTGAATTTAATTTTGTTTTTGACAACTATGCTGTTCAGTAATATTAGATGTTTCATATAATGAGTAGTCTTACCTTTTTTTTCCGCATAAAGTTGCTCTAAGTTTTTGCTTGGATATAAAAGAAAAAATATACTTTTCTGTTTCTGCTTGGATTTGTTACCTCAAGGAAGTAAAAAATTCCGTCTTTCTGAAACCTGAAATTCTGTGTTTAAAAAATATTTGTATGTTTAGATATTGTCGATTATTTAGCTTTAAGCTTTATGATTATTTAGAGTAAAGCTTTATTAAACCACAATTTCTAGTTTATTGACTTGCGCTTCTAACATATTTAGACCACTTAAGTTCAACAAATGGACATTAGATGATGCATTATTTCATACTTTAATTTTTTAATAATAAATTTATATTGGTCTAAAGGTAAATAATATGAAATTAGTGTGTTTCATCATTTTAAATATTTTTTTCTAAGCAATTTTTTTTGTTTGCTTCAGGTTTAAAACAAATTCTACTTTTATTTATTTATTGTTCCTTTCTTCAGGTGATCATAACAAAATATCTTGTTTAATGTGAATTTTTATGTATGAATGTATATTTCAATTCAATATGTGTCTATATTTTCTTATTTTCAGTGATGAGAACTAGTACACTGAAAAAAAAAATTTTTTTTTTTTTCTTTTACAAATTATTTTTAAAGTGTCAAAAATATATTAATTTAGGAGTTCTAAATTATAAGTATCTTTTAAATCTTTCCAATGTTTAAATATTTATATTTTAATAAGAGATGTGCATTCTGGTGAGAATGCACTTATTCTCATCACTGATTATTTCCTTTTCAAGTCATTTATCACTGAAAGAAAGACTCTGTTGAAAAGTGGAAATGGTAAATGTAATACAAACTGTGCATTTTCTTAAGCTAAATTGAGTGTAATTGGCACAGATGTATATGTGATAATTACAGGATTTGAATAGTATTACAATTTCAGTTCAAACTATTAATTTGATACCCTAAATAATGTAGTTTGAATTCAGAAAAATATACCTGCAAGACTTTCAAGGTTATATTTAAACCAAAATTCCTAGTCAGCGATTGTATTTATTCCTTATAGCGATATTTAAACTTAGTGAATCTCCCGGTGTTAGCTTTTTAGTCAAGTATCTGCCAAATATCATATTTGTTAAACTTGTAAATATTTTAATTGATATTCTGTGGTTTTAGATCATAAGTTTGTAAATATGTATAAATACTGTTTGTGAAACTTATTCTTGTACACTGTGGTATTAATTAAAGTAATTTTTGTTTCTTATTTTCTGGGATAAGACTATTTATATTGTGCTACCTAAGGGGAGAATTGGTACTTTACCGTTAGCCGGGCGCAAGCAAAAAATTGCCAAATAATGTAGATTTCCGCCAAATTTCTTACAACCATTAGGGGAATGTTGGTTTGAGGCCACGTGCTCTATTCTCTAAATTCATTCATAACAAAACACGTTTTAATTTCTTACTTCCATCTAAATTTCTTTCTTTCTTCCATCTTAGTTCATTAATATTTGTTTATAGTTTCGACTTTTATTCCATTGACTGTTTTGTCATTCGGTTCGCTTGGCGACTTGACTCGCGTTTGGTTCAGAATTGGCGACATTTGCGCCCAGCTAATTGAAAAGTACCGAAAAATTAAGCAAAATCTAAAAATTATGTATTTAAAGTTATAATAATTTCATTCTTAGTTTTGTGTTTTTTTTTTTTTTTTTTTTTTTTTTTTTTTTTTTTTTAAAGAATCTGGCAGCTTGAGATGGTCCTTAATATTCTGTTTTTTGTAGGTGAAAGGAGTTTAATGTGAACATCTGGAATAATTTTGTCATTTAGTTTATCAGTCAAAATATCTCTAAGAATTTTAATATATTCACAAAACTGTGTTACACTTTCATGTGATGTTGCTTGGCAACGTAGTTAATTCGAGAGTGAATGCGAAAACAATGTTTTTATCGTTGAAGAAAGAATTTCTTAATTTGATTTTTCTCCTACTAATTCTCAGTTACAACAAATATTATTCCTTATTTTAAATGATATTATGTTGTGAATAACTATACTCATTGTGAATTTAAATTGTCACCTTTAAATTGCATTTTTTTTTCTGTTAATAAACAAACATGACACATAGATGTGGGCATGGTGTTGTATCCACATAAAGCTTTCTCTAGTAATGTAGGTTAATAATCATCACTTCACTTATTAAAGTATTAATTTGTTATGTAACTAAGATTAATTTTGTTAAGCAACCAATTAATTTTTTTAAAAATTTTACTCTTTTAGTGCCTAAAATGATTAGGCTTTTAATTTCTAAATTTTATTTATTTTGATACCATGAAAATTTTAATATAAACTAATACTTTAATGTATTTCAAGTTCTTTTTTTATAGAAAATGTTCATTGCCTGTTAAATTTTATGATTTCTTTATGCAAGTTAATAGCAAATTATGTTCTTCCAAAATTTGCTTAATGACTTGTTCATATGATTAATGTGACTGTCTCTTAGTTGACATTTTATTATTAAATTGTTATAATACTACTTGTTTTGAATTATTTAAGATGTAATATTTTTTCCTACTAAATAAATATTAAAAATAGATTTCTAATGTAGTAGTTAGTTTCCGAAACAGATTTTTACATAGTTGAATTGAAGTTCATTTCTTAAATGTAAAAAATTATTTATGTGGTCTAGCATTAATAAAAATCTACATCGTTATGAATATTTATTTAAGAATGTACTTTTTGGCTTGGAATTAATTTTATTTGATTTTTCTTGTTAAAAAACAAGTGATAATAAATTAAGACTTATAAATAAGTGATAATAAATTAAGACTTATCCACACTAGTCTCATATCATGGATAGAACAACTTTTTCTTTAAAAAGAAAGATCGATCAATAAAATATCACTCCAACTTAGCTTGTGTACCTTTCAAAATGAAGCTAAAAATTAAAATTTAATAATGAAAAAAATATTATATATGATAAAATGATTTGTAAACTGTTTTGACTAATTTATAAAAGTTATCCATGCTATCTTCCCATCACCTACATCATTTCAATTAATATGCAATATTTTTATGAGTCTTTAATAATTATTATTTTAGAAGTCATTTTTATTGGTCTTTAGTTACATATTCGTTTACTGCTTTTTGTTCTTCATTGTGTATTCTGTAAAGATGTTTACTATACCATATCTGTATACATTAATAAAAATTGTTTCATATCGAGAGTTAGCAATTAACGATTGCTTCATCATCATAATGTTTGAAAGAAATTAATTTTTGATAATTCATATTATTAAGAAATGAATATTCATATTATTATAATTATTTTAAAATTCTTACGTACATTTCAGTAAAGTTTTGTGAAAAATAATTTCAATAAATAAAAATATCCCTCCTTGGAATTTG